TCGTTTATTTTCCTTTAAACACACAATCACATGATGGTTTTTCTGATGAGAAATATAACACACGCTCCCTGCAGAATGTTTGGAAAATACAGAACAACACAAAAAAGGAAATTAAAGCCACCCATAATCCTACCACTCAGCTAGAACCCCTCTTCATGTTTCGGAATGCATTCTTCTCATCTTGTTGTATGGGTCTGTTCGGCATGCTTATACCCACCTCTATACACGCACATGCAAACACACTATGTGATACAAATTGTGAGCCTGCTGGAATCCTGGTGTGTGTGGGAGGACGGGGGGGGGGGAGAATGCAGGAGTATTTGTCCATTTTTTAAAACATTCACTATTTAAAAAAAAATTTCAGGGCCGGCCGAGTAGCTCAGCTGGTTAAGAGTTGGCTTGGGAGCACCAGCTCTGAGCAGCAGGGCTGCGGTTCGGATCCCACAGTGAGGGCCAGTGACGCTACGCCCTCTACAGCTAAGATGATGAACAACAGCTCGACCTGGAGCTGGGCTGCTGTGAGTTGCCGGCGACGGCGTAGGCTGCAGCAGGGCTGCAGTGGGCTGCCATGAGCTATGTGAGTGACTGGAAGCCAGTGTGAGCAGCTGGTAGCCGGTGTGAGCTACCGGGAGCCGCTGTGAGCAGCCAGCCAACGACCGGCGACCGATTGCCTCATCCGGGAAGAGCACAATGATCATACCAACATGGGCCAGCGAAGCGACATCCTCCACAACTAGACTGAAGAACAAAAACAGCAATTTGTCTACCTGTCTGTTCCCCTTCCCCGATTCCCCAATGCTGTTCTCCTCCCCCCAATTCCCCAATAAAATCTTTAAAAAACAAAAAAATTTTTCAAAACTATTAAAATAACCCAAATACCCGTCAACTGCGAAAGAACAGATACATCTATGGATGTACCGAATGTGGTACCTCTATAAAAAGTAATGTTATTTAACAATAAAAGAAATGAAGTGCTGGAACATGCTGCCACGTGGATAAACCTCAAAAACATTATACTAAGTGAAAGAAGCCGGATCAGAAGACCACATACTGCATCATCCCATGTATATGCAATGTCCAGAAAAGACAGCTCTCTAGAGGCAGAAAGTAAATTAGTGGTTGCCTGGGGCTGGGGGTGAAAACAATGATCAACCGTAAGTGGGCACAAGGGAGCTTTTGGGGGTGATGGAAATGTTGAGAAGCTGGATCGTGGTGATGGTCACACAACTCAGTAGATTTACTAAAAACCAGTGGACACTCAAAACAAGGTGAACTGTGTGGAATTTTTTTTTAAAAGATTTTATTGGGGGGCCGGCCGAGTGGCTCAGTTGTTTAAGAGCTCGCTCAAGAGTTTGAGCTCTGAGCAACAGCAGTTCGAGTCCCGGCCTGAGCTGAGCAGCCGCTGAGCTGCCAACAGGTAGCAGGATGGCTCAGCTAAAAAAACAAAACAAAAATAAAGATTTTATTGGGGAATTGAGGGAGGGGAACAGCGTTGGGGAATCAGGGAAGGGGAACAGACAAGTTGCTGTCCTTTAGTGGAAGACGTCGTTTCACTGGCCCATGTTGGTATTGTGATCATTGCGCTCTTCCCGGGGTGAGGCAGATCGGTTGCCAGCCACTGGATGGCCACTCACCACAGCTCATGGCAGCTCTGGCTGGCTGCTGGCCACTCACGGTAGCTTACGGCAGCCCACTGCAGCAGGGCCTGCAGCCTATGCCATAGCCGGTGTCAGCCCAGCTCCAAGTCGAGCTGTTGTTCACCATCTTAGCTGTAGAGGGCGCAGCGTCACTGGCCCTCATGTGGGATCCGAACTGGGGCCCTGTTGCTCAGAGCTGGCATCCAAAGCCAACTCTTAACCAACGCGCCACTCGGCCTGCCCTGTGTGGAATTTCTTAATGTAAATAATACATGAAGTTGATCTTTTAAAAGGCTAAAGAAAGAAAAAAATAAAGTCTTATTTGGAAAATATAGAAAAGCACAAAGAACAAAGTAAATCTACCATAAGACTATTCACTTGTGTTGTTTTGAAATGTTTCCTAGTCTTATGTCAGTGCTATAATTTCCTCCTCATCTTCCTTCCATTCTTCCTCTTCTAGCGTGGAGTCACACTGTATCTCTGGCTTTCTAACCTCTGTTTTCCACTTAAAATATATCATGAATATTTCCCAAATCATTGAATTTTTACTGTTATATGGAAATATATGCATATAGCAAATTGCAGTTTATTAACTATTTCTCTGGTGTTGGACATCTCTAGTTCTTCCTCCCTGTCCATAATCTGTGTGTCCATCATTGAAGTCAAGTTCTAGAAACTGAAGTATTGAGTCAAAGACATGAGCATTTTGAAGGCTTTTGATATATTTCTAAGGCCCCCAAGAAAGACAGGTGTACCAGTTCCCACTTCCACCAACAGTTAAACAAGTGTGTGTTTCCAGATACCTTCACCAAAGCTGGATGTTATCATTTATTTTATATGTTTGCCAATGGGGTGGGCAAAAAAATGGTCTCTCTCTGTTGGTTTAAATTGACTTTATTTGATTATTAAGGAGAATGCACTTTTCTTCATATGTTAGTAGCTCCTTTGTATTATTATTTTGTTTTTCTTTTGTGAAACATCCATGCGTTCCCTTTACACATTTTTTCTGTTGGAGGGTTTGTATTTTTGGTTGGGTTTTAAGTGCTTTTTATAAAATAAGAGTATCAGCTTTTATACACCATATATAAGTATGTTACCAATATTGTTTCCAAGTTTGTTGTTTGCCTTTTTATTTTGTTTATGGTAGTTTTGATAAATACAAGTTTTCTATTATTTCTATGGCGTTATCAATCTTTATCCTATGGTTTCTGACTTTATTGAAATGCCTAGGAAGACCTTCTCCATCTCATTTTTGTGTAATATTCACCTATACATTTTTTGGCACTTTTATAGTATTTCCTTTCCTCCTTCCTTTTCTTGCTTTCTTGCTATTTAATCTTCACTCCATCTAGAACTTACTTTGATATATGGCTTAAGATTAGAATCTAACTTAAATTTCTCCCAAATAATTGAATAATTGTCTCACCACAATTACTAAATAACTCATCTTTTACCTGCTGATTGGAAATAGCCAACTTTATCATGCTTTAAATACTTATCTCTACTTGAATCTCTCTTGGATGCTTTTTATCTCATTCCATTGATCTATCTGTGTTTTCAAATGCCATTAAGACATGGTTTTAATTATTTTGGCTTTATGATATATTTTAAGTCTGGCAGTACAAGTCATCTCTCATCTCTTTTTTAGGCTGTTATCTCCTGTTTAGTTTTCCAGATGCATTTTAGAGTCATTTTGCCAAGTAAAAGAAATATCCCTCTGTGGTTCTGATTGGAATTAAATTAAACTGAGAAATTAATTTGGAGAAAACTGACACATCTACCCTTGAACCTAAATATCCAGGAACATGTCATGCTTCCTCATTTAAGTCTACTTTTATGCCTCTCATTGAAGGTGTTTTTCTCATTTTTTTTACTAGAATTGCACACTTCTTATTTGATTGATTATTAGTTATTTAATATTTTTGTTAGTATTGTAAAGGAAATTATTTCAATATTAATTTTTCTTACTGGTTGTTGCTGATATAAAGAAACACTACTTATTTGTGCTCATTGGTCATTTAACTTGACTCTCCTACTAGTTCCTACTAGTTTTCGTGTTTAGGGATTATTTTGAGGGTTTTTAGGAAGGCATTTATATAATTTGCAAATACAGATTTTTTTCCTTTCCAAGAGGTATGTATGCCTGTCAATTCTTTTTCTTTCTTTCTTTCTTTCTTTCTTTCTTTCTTTCTTTCTTTCTTTCTTTCTTTCTTTCTTTCTTTCTTTCTTTCTTTTAAAGATTTTATTGGGGAATTTGGGGAGGGGAACAGTGTTGCAGAATCGGGGAAGGGGGACAGACAAGTTGCTGTCCTTTTGTTCTTCAGTCTAGTTGTGGAGGACGTCGCTTCACTGGCCCATGTTGGTATTATCATTGTGCTCTTCCCGGGTGAGGCAGTCGCTCACCAGCTATTGCACTGCCGCTCACGGCAGCTCATGGCAGCTCACCCCAGCTGCTGGCCACTCACGCTGGCTGCCAGCCACTCATGGTAGCTCACGGCAGGTCACTGTAGCTGGGGCTGCAGCCTACGCCATCACTGGCGGCTCACAGCAGCCCAGCTCCAGGTTGAGCTGTTGTTCACCATCTTAGCTGTAGAGGGCGCAGCGTTACTGGCCCTTATTTGGGATCCAAACCGGGGCCCTGCTGCTCAGAGCTGGCATCCCAAGCCAACTCTTAACCAACACGCCATTTGGTTGCCCCTTTTTTTCTTTCTTATTTCATTGTTTAACAGTGTGGTCTAAATCCTTATCCTCCTCCCTTTTCTTCTTTAATGAGAATGCCTCTAGTGTGTCACCATTAGTGGGATATCAAAGGCCGATTTGAGCTAAAGATGCATCAAGGAAGTATCTTTCCTCGTGCTAGTTTATTAAGCATTCTTAACAGCATCAGATATTGGATTTTAGTAAACGCCTTTCTGCATTTTGTAAGTTGGTTATGTGTATTTTTTCCCCCTTTAAACTATCGAAGTGATGGAGTGATAGTCATATATTTCTTTATATTGAACCACCCTTCCATTTCTGGAATACAAGTCTGTATGGTTATGGTATGTTATTCTTGTAACATTCTGGTAGATTCTACTTGCCAGCACTCTCTTGAGAATTTTCACAGCAATATTAATAAGTTGGTGATGTTATTTTGGCTCTGTTTGTCAGTCTCTGTTATAAGGGATTTCCTAGCTGAGTGTAATGAACTAGGAGCGTTTTCATAATTCTTATGCTCCAGCACAATTTCTGTGTACGGGAATTATATAGGATATTATGGAACAATGGGGGTGCGGGGATCTTGTCCATAAAACGTTCTGAGCCAAGCATTTTTGTTAGCACCCCTTCCTCCCCAGCACACACAATTTTACGGATTTCTCACAGGAGGAATCTTCGAGTATGCAGACGGCCCCAACGCCCAGGTCATGAATGCTGAGGAGCACGCCTTTCGATTTTCTGCCAACATCATCAACAGGAACAGGACTCTGCTGCCCAATACAACCTTGACCTATGACATCCAGAGGATTCACTTCCATGACAGCTTCGAAGCCACCAAGAAGGGTGAGTGTGCGGCCCCATCTGCTCCCTCCCAGGCCTGGGCCTGGGCAGGGCGTTATCTGCTGTCCATGGTCCTGAAAATGGGCCAAAAGTTTGGGTGGGCTTGGGGCTTGAGCCTTTTCTGTCACGTTTCAGAACCTGCATCTGTCCCAGTTCCATTTAGGTTGTGTCATCCTCCAGGAGCGGTGGGTTGTCCATCAGGAGTTCCCAGGCCACTGGCAGAGGAAATGAGAGGCCATGGGAGGGGGTGAAGGGTGGGGAGTAGGGCCTGAGATGGGGCTGGGGAGGTAGCAGTAAGGCGGCCAGCCCAGGTGTCTGACACCTATGAACCAAAGCCGACATTTTCAAACTTGCTTTTTATTTAATTGAAACCTTACCCAGAATATAAAAATGTTTAAGGCATATAAAAAAGAATATGTATAAGTTCAAATATGCAACATTTGCTTGCCATAAAAAGCATTACTAAAATCAGCAAAGATGCTTCTGTAACTTGTAACAATTTGACTCCAAAGGCTATGGTGATGACACCTGAAGTCTGACATTAGCCTCAGCATTCACTATGTTTTCATATTTTGTTTTGGCTGCACAGAAATAAAAAAAA